AAAGATGTTTGAAATAGCTCAGTTTGTGCATTAGCATAACATTCCAGGTTTTTTTCTCTTTCATATTACTAATGTTGGCAACTGATCCTGTTTACAGTATTTAGCCATCTGTATTCTCCCCACAACTGGCAGTGTTATCAAACATCTATCCTCAGTTTCAGCATAGCAATTCACATATCCTAATAATATAGTTATGGGGTCACTAAAAGGTAATCCATGTGCACAACAGCACACTGAGTCACTCTCCCTTGCACCTCCCAATTCTTTATTTTTTAAAAATTGATTTTTTGTTTGGAGGGGGTGTTGCCCAGTTTTATTTTTGTTTGTATCATGTTTATTTTGGGGTGCATACAGGAGTTTGGGCTGGGGGGGGTTCTAAGCATCACCATTTTTTCCTCTGTGAAATGGGTATTTTTTGGTACCCGTGACAGTTCCTTGGCTTTCCAAATGTGGCCCTGGGCCCAGAAAGGCTAGGGATGCCTGCTATGCTTAAGGACATTACAGAAATTTCATATTTTGCAATATTCTCATGCAAAACAAAATATTCTGCTATTTTTGTGCCATCTTACACTCCGGCCAAAAATGTTCCATGTTTTAGAATTACTTTGTTAACTTGGCTCCAATGTGTTTTAAAATTATAATAAGATTATTTATTTAAGGGAGCCAACTGGGCTCTGTTCTAGGTTGCTCCCTATGCAGAGAAGCACAGATGACATTCATGACTAGGGCAGGAAAAAACCAAAGCTTTAGACTCTGTCATTTTTATAGTAGTTTTCAAATGCTCCAGATTCTGATTTCCCCCACTCCCTGTGATTTTCTCTCTGTGTCTTTCTGTCTCTCTCTCTCTGCAGCTGCAACATATTTGCAAGGCGTTTTATCCCATATATTACCAAATAGTGTATGAGAGACGGAGCTGTTCAGAACGTGACATGCGGAGGAAGCAAAGGGTGCTGGGCAGTGATATAAAGGGCATCATTGTTACAGGGCTCCAAAACGTAACCAAGTATATTCTGTAAGCTACAGTCCTCCCCTGGACGTCGCAGTCAGGAGCTGCATACATAATTAACATCACCGAAAGGACAGGGCTGGTTTGCGTTCGCAAACCACACATGGATTTCAGCACTGAATAATGTTTCCATAAAGTGATGCAAAACACAGCACCGCACGAAGCACAAAATAGGGCAAGCAAGGAATTCGGCAGCAGCTGAGGACAAATTATGCAGGCGGCTGGGTATTCAGCCAAAGGGGCGAGGAAGCGTTATCGACCGGGTATGTAGAGTTTCTGGCCAACGTGGGAATCAAAGTGGTGACAGGGAGCCGAGAAAGGAAGAGGTAATTTAGCACTATTTTCCACCTCTTCCTTCCCTCCATTTCTTGTGGAGAGAAACCAGCCATGCCAATAGGAAGGAACGCTGCAAAACACTGACAGGACTGGCAGTTCCCCGGGGAAACTGGGTTTGAACAGGACACGTAAATATTGGTTTGCCCATGGGAAAATAGAAACCTATGGCAGATACAGTTTTGTGCAATGAGGCTGATGGGAATCGTAGTCTATATTGCTGTCTGGAAAATTTGAAGGGTCCCAGCTTAGGGAAAGGTGACCTGCACCCTTATTTGACTCTCAAAAAATATGAGGTAGGGCAACAATAAACACTATATTTCTTATTTCCAGCAGAAAAGCAAACAAAACCCAAAGACCTGTAATATATGAAAAAGCAGTATTGCTTTACGTTCCTATCGGAACTGCCATTTCCATGTGTATTTCCCACTTAGCACGTATAGCCACTTCAGCTCATGAGAAAATCCTTTCCTTTTTTATTTAAGCATTCGGGCAAAGCATGCCTCATATCTGTCTTTGGCCCAACATCCTTCCGTGACATGGAATGACAGCCGTTGCTCTTGCATCTGACAATAGAATCAAGCAAATGCCAGCCTGTCATAGTTCAATTCACAGTGGACAGATGGTTTATATATGAATAAAATGAAACCCCAAAGAGGGCTGAGTAGACTGTCAAAAGTCCACATGGAGAAGGACGGCTAAAGAGTTTGACATGAACTTGAGGAACCTATCATTAAGTCATGCTTCTCCCATGGACTCATTTAACCCCAATCCAGCAAGGGAGGCACATTTGCAAAAACAGGTTTCCATGCGTGCAGCTGATTTGACTCTACCTGCAGACTGTACTGCAATGGTCACCAAAGCTCCCCTGATCTGACTGGAGGTTTTTTTTTTCATTTGGATAAGGATATCCATCCTATCCACACCTGCTAACAGATGTGCATGGCTCGAGTTATCGTGTGGCCTCGGGCAAGTCACATTTCCTCAGGTCACCATCTGTGACATTGACAGCTACTGCAAGGCTGTTGGGAGGAAGAAGACTCTGCAAACGTTTTTCAAATCAAAATGCTTCACTTAAGAAATAAAGCAGTCAACTAACAGCCTGGCTACATATTGCAGTGTGCAATGCTGGGAGCAGGGTGGGGGGGCCACTTTCACCCCCAAACAAGGTGGGATTGTCGTCAAAATGGAGACCCATCTGACCAAGAGCTGGTTTGTATAAAACAAGGAGGTGGTGTTGGTGCATCTTTGAAATCCTTTCATTTGGCTACTCTCAGTGGTGACACTGACGCATTGAATTGTGCCTCAGGCTCTTCACTTACTCCACATGGTGTTTGCTACCATGTGGGAAGCTAGGCCTCCACAACAATTGCGGGCCAAATCAATATATGGTTTCCATAGAGGCTGCTGAAATTTGCTTTGATGAGACATCAAAGTGATGTTGAAAGTCATTTTTTTAATATCATCCAGTCTAATCAGATAGAGACTCTTCATGCTAGGACGACATCATCCTAGCAAGATTCTCCATGCTGATAGCTATTAGGTGTAACTGAGAGAAAAGTACCTTTCAGACATTTCAGTCATGGAGTTACTTCATGGGATTCCTCTCCCACTCCAAGCCTCCAGGAAAGGTTGAAAGGAAATAGTGTCCCTATTTTAGCTAGAACAACAACAACAACAACAACAACCTTGCACTCTCTCCTGCTGCTCTGCAACGTAGACTGCATAACACCTTTCTTGGAAGTCCCACCTACCTTGGGGTGTGAATGAGAGGAGCAAAACAATTTGTTTTTGATCCTAGACAAACAGACAGACTTGAGAAAGCAGCTTTGCTTGTTCAGATGGTGATAAACATTGGGCTATTGTATTGGTTTTATGGCCAGCGCTGTCTTTGATGCAGAGTAACTTGGAGACAATGTACTGAAAGGAATATTTTCTTTCATCTTTTAACATCCAATGGCAATCCCAAGAAGTTAATTGCAATGGGAAAATGTCATGCAAAGGTAAAATGAAATAATGCTTCCTGATCCTGAGTAATTTATTTGACCTGCTCAGTTGCCTGCTGTCTCCTGGCAGGTTGTTGCTCCTATGGTAATATGATCTTCAAGCTTGTGGACTTCATCACTCTAGGGAACAAAATGTTAGACTAGATAGACCTTTGCTTTTCCAATCTGAGCTGGAAAGTGTGTGGTAATCTCTGGGGCTGGTGCCACTACAGAGATTTCATCTATTTGTCCTTTCAGTGACCAAACTGCTGGTGCAAGGAAAAATATAGAAAGGAGAATTCTTGGATGCCAAGGTCCAATATAGGCTGCTAGACCTTTAAAATATGCCCTTGTGAGTGCCAAAACGTCCCTCCAAGATAGAAAAAGACCATGCATTTGGTAATTTAAAAATGGTTTACTTACCAACTCTCCAAAGGTCAGATTCATGTGCTTTTCCATACAGCATTCAGAAAAAGCTGCACAGGAAGTAAAGCTTAGTTTAGTTCCAAAGTGGAGAAAATTCCTAAATTACGGGTATAGAAACCCAAGAGTGGCTTGTGAGAGCCATGCAGCTAAGTTGAAGGAATCAGCTAAGCCTCTTCACATGCTGAGTTCATCAGGGAGACTGGAAGAACAAAGGCTTGATAAACCTAGTTCCTACCAAGGTGAACTAAGCCTGGCAGGACAGCTTACTCTGTGGTCTTAACCCCTTCATACATTATTTTAGTCTTAAGCCAGATCTGCACAGATCTACATTAAAAGCACTGTTTTTTGTTGGTTGTTTTTTGTTTGTTTTTATTAAGGATTTTCTTGTTTTACAGAAGTAAGTGTAATGCCTCGTATTTTTTCCATGTAACATTTTTACAAATCCGTTTCATTTGTGGCACTGTGGTCTAAACCACAGAGCCTAGGGCTTGCCGATCAGAAGGTTGGTGGTTCAAATCCCCGCGACGGGGTGAGCTCCCGTTGCTCGGTCCCTGCTCCTGCCAACCTAGCAGCTCAAAAGCACCTCAAAGTGCAAGTAGATAAATAGGTACCACTCCGGCGGGAAGGTAAACGGTGTTTCCGTGCGCTGCTCTGGTTCACCAGAAGCAGCTTAGTCATGCTGGCCACATGACCCGGAAGCTGTACGCCGGCTCCCTCGGCCAATAAAGCGAGATGAGCGCCGCAACCCCAGAGTCGGCCACAACTGGACCTAATGGTCAGAGGTCCCTTTACCTTTAACTTTATACTACTATAACAGTCTTGGCTTCCACCGAAGTATCCTGAAAACTGTGGTTTGATAAGGGTGCTGAGAGTTGTTAGGAGACCCCTATTCCCCTCCCAGAGCTACAACTCTCAGAGTGGTTTAACAATCAATCCCATCCCACACACCTAGGTGGCCTGCATCTTCCTGGTAAGTGGCATTCAGTCACCAGACCTGAGGTTACCTACTGATGATGTAGCTGAACACACACACACACACACACACACACACACACACACCAATTCATGCTGCAAAAGCATACAAATTCTTTTAATTTAGTATCCACTTTCCAAATATAAATTAACAGCTGTATTCACAGTATGTCATCCAACTAATTCAGCTACTTGAAGAAGCCTGTTAGATCTCTCGGTGCACCGAGCAGCCTCTTCCTCTGATCCATTTTTCCTTTTCTTCTCCTTTTTAAATTTAGGGTGAAACAAGATTGTTCCAAGAGTCCAGCACAGCAGGTAAACTTGCTTTATGTTGCCTGTATGCTTCCCTGCAGCCAAGCGCATTTGCACATCAACAGTATTGCTTTGCAGCAGGGCTACCCAGTGACATTATCTTCAAAAGTACTTCAAGGCCAGTGGAACGCTGCGGGGAGCTCTGCTTTTTTAAAAAATATATAAAAAAGCAAGAACAGGAATAAAGAAAACCTCACAAAACTTATTTATGAATTTCCTTGGCAATGTTGATTCTTTTACCAGCCCTAGCAATAGTGATTAGGGCGGGAGTTAGCAGAGATTCGGGACTGCATCAACTCAATTTGCCTGGTCACCTTGCTGCGCATCAGAACATTTCAGCATCCTTGGTATGCTTTGGGAAATGTTTGACCGCTGTGGAGGGCACTGAAATCTAAGGCTATGATCTGGTTTCTGTCCCTTCTCCTTACACACTGTATTTTTCAGCTGCAGGTTTTCAGCTGTCAAAGAATCTGACATCCCAGTTTTCAGAGCTCCACTGTGAGAGCAGTCTTGGGTGAGCCAGGAGCTGGGAACCAGGGGCTGTGGGGCAGAGCAGTATTCAGGACCCAGGAGTAAGTCAGAACCCAAGGAGAAAGCAGAAGGGAGGCAGGAGTTGGAACCAAAAGGACAAAGGAGACAGGAGAAGGAGCAAGTCCAATTTCAGGACTGAAGAACAACCAAGGACATAGGAACATGGCGGAGCTCAGGCACTGCCCATACTCCTTTCTCTCTGGAAGGGTGGAAGGATGGAGGCAGTCCAGGGCCTGAGGTACTTCACCACAAAGCAGCCAGCTGCATTCCATGGGGCAGCTGCACACAGATCCCAGCAGCTCCTACAGTACCATATTGGCCTGAATATAAGCCGCAATTCCCCCCCCCCAATTCCGACAGTGAAAAGTTAAAGTGCGGTGTCAGGGAACTGCCATCGGAAAGACAGGAGGTGGAAAGGCTCCCGGAGGTTGAGAGAGACTTAGCAGCTGGAGAGGGAACCAGCAGGGGGAGAGGAGGGGCTCCAGGGGAAAGTGAGTCGGAGGGATGGCTCAGAGACACTTCCAGCGAAAACAGTGGGGAGGTTTCAAGACCTCCTATAGGGACACCCACTCCTCGCCGGAAACTGTCACGCCGAGAGTCCAGAAGACGTGTTTCCGTTAAGGAGCTTTTATGCTGGAAGAGATTCCGTAAGAGACCACTTTCGGATTCTGCTAGCGACTGACGCAGCCATGCTGGAGGGGCTGTTGAGGATCCAGACGACATCTGATGTAATTGGGGGGGGGGGCTGTTTGCTTATGAGCATGTTGCTGGGTATCAGTAGAATGGCGGGCATAATGGTAGCACAGTATTGTTTCATGCCAGGAGTGGGGACCCCCGCACACAAGATTCAAATCACAAACTCAGCCATGGAGTTTATTGAGTGACCCATAGGGGGAAACCGACTGTCTGAAGGCATATGGGGCAGTGCAAGAGTGGGGGCAGCAGTCCATGCACACCACAGTGAGCTTCTTGAAGACAATAAATTGTTGTTGTTTAGTCTTTTAGTCGTGTCTGACTCTTCGTGATCCCATGGACCAGGCACTCCTGTCTTCCACTGCCTCCTGCAGTTTGGTCAAACTCATGCTGGTATCTTCGAGAACACTGTCCAACCATCTCGTCCTCTGTCGTCCCCTTCTCCTTGTGCCCTCCATCTTTCCTAACATCAGGGTCTTTTCCAGGGAGTCTTCTCTTCTCATGAGGTGGCCAAAGTATTGGAGCCTCAGCTTCACGATCTGACCTTCCAGTGAGCACTCAGGGCTGATTTCCTTAAGAATTGATAGGTTTGATCTTCTTGCAGTCTATGGGACTCTCAAGAGTCTCCCCCAGCACCATAATTCAAAAGCATCAATTCGGTGGCTTAAATAAGTAAATAAAATGTTTTGTTCCCAAAGTGAAGGAAAGAGAAAAGAGGGGTTGCTACTGTATATTCCCATCCAAGTTTCACGCTGACAAACAAAAATGTTTCTTCATCCACCTCCTTTTTTCTTCACCTCCTCCTCAGACTGGAGCTGAGGCGAGGCAATCGATAGAAGAGCAAAGGGGTGTCTCTCAAAGTGAGCTCATGGCAGTTTCAGTTTTGAGCAAACACTTGAATGCTTTCCAGTTTGGCTAAGGCGAATACAGCAGACAGCTTCAGAATGGAATTCTCTTGCTAGACGAACGGAAAGAGGTACCAAACACCTAGGCAAGCAAAATACTCTCTCGTCCCCTTGCTACAGGGCCTTCTTAACTTTAGTTTCCACAAAGACAAGCCTGCCTTAATATATTGCCTGCCAGATGATCGGCTGTCTCCCTTGTCCCAGTTCCACCAAGGCATAGCTGGCAGAGCTATAACTCTCCAAAGCTCACCAAGGTAAGCAACAGAAATGCTTGATGCAGGATTTCAATTATAATTCTGAGCAGCGTCAAACATCTCAGACCCGGAACTCAAAAGCCATAAAGAGTTCAAAGGCAGCTTGCGAACTGTGCTCAAACTCACAGCAGAGTTATAATGGAGGAGCTTTCGCACTGTTCAACTTTCCTCTTCATCAACTGTAACGCCACACCAAGATCCCTCTCGGTATCTTTTGCCAGTGGCTCTTTTAAAGTGGATGTTATATTAATAATCCAAGAGCTTTTTCTAAAAAGAGTTAACCTCTCGGGATAAGCTCGGCATCACTGCCAACAGAACATTTCTCATTCAGGTTGCTGTGTCTCGTAAAAGGATGGAGGGGAACCGCAAAATGGAGGAGAGGAAAGGACAAGTTGGGGGGGGGGAGAGAGAGATGGTGTCCACAAGGAAGAAGCCAGAGCAGGAGTTTCTGTAATAAAAGGATACCTAGTTAGCTATAACGGTGTGGGGAGGGCTGTGTAGGAAATCAGGAGGTACAGCAGGAAAGGCTATTCATCCTTCATGTCTTCTCATCACGGTTCCAAAGGGAAACGGTGACCCAAAACAGTGTCATGGCAGCCTTCAGGAATGCTGGCAGTGTGTGTTAGTTGCCAGTTCGGAACAACGGGAAGAGCGGTGTTTTACTCAGATGGATTCTAAATAATAGTATTCAAATCATGTGACTCCCTTCAGTTAAAAACTCAGAAACTTAGGGAGCATGAAATGAGTTGCTTCAACAATTAAATTGCATGCCCCTTCTCTCCTCTCTGCCCTTCAAATCAAGCGCTAATCAGGTATTCTCTTCCACCGATGATTACACCACATGATAAGCAGAGCAGGGACAAGCCTCTTGGCCCCATCCTCTCCATTGCATTCCTGTAGCCGATAACATTGTCATCCATGTGTTGATGAGGCAAAGCTGGGCAGCAGAGACAAAAAATGCAGACACAAAAAATGATGCTGAGCTGTGGAACAGTGAACTGCAAACAGGTGCAAAAAAGTGAGTGTTTTGGGGCAGGAATTTGGGAAACTCTTCAGCCTCTTCCTCCCAAAGTCAACTTTTTACAACAAAGTTGTCGATTTGTATGAAGGCCACAACGAGACTATCAAGCTTTATATTTAAAGTGTGGGGACCAGTCGGGTAAAATTCCACCCTACACATTAAGATTCAGTAACTTGAAGGTTTCAACTTTTCTAGCTTTCTCTCATCCAATAATCGGTGTGTGTGTGTGTGTGTGTGTGTGTCCAGTTGGTTTTCTCATATTTGCCATCAACTAAAGCAGGCATGTCCAAAGACCGTTTCGGGGGCCTAGTCTGGCCCGCCAGTCAGTTTAATCAGGCCCCTGTGGCAGTTTATTTCCTGGGGTAAAATCCTTTAAAAAAAACACCTCAACAACTTCAATCCTAAAAGAAGCCCAACAACTTCAATCCTTTAAAAAAAGGTCAACAACAACTTTGTCGGCCCTTTGGTCGGCCCCCACGGCCCTTCACTTCATTAAATCTGGCCCTCTTTGAAAAAAGTTTGGACACCACTGATTACTAAAGTATGCAGTTGCGCAGAATGAGGTAAACCTGTGCCAGACATCTTGAAACATGGATTGTGTTCTCTTGTTTGGACTTTACAGACACCTACAGTGCTGAGGTTCAAGAAGCTACTGAACCAGTCAGCAAGCTATCCTCTAAAGTGGCTGGGATGCGAAGGAGGGACAGTTATCTGGGCTTCTCCATTGCCTCCAGTCACCACCTCTTTTGCAGGCATAACTATATTTGGAAAAGGCCTGGTTCCAATTAAGTTTTGAGTGAAGCAATGCCACGCACCCCTTGTGTTGGCATCCAACTTGCCAGCATCAGGGTTCCACCATCAATCCAGATCAAATCCAGTAAGCTGGTGTGTCATCATATTCTGCCAGTGTGATGGGATTTGTTACTTCAAGTTCAAAAGTTTGTTGTTCTAGACGAAGGGCCAAGACAATGGTATTCATAAAACAGTATTCAGTGTATATCCATAACAGAAGCCATGCTGTAAGAGACAGAAGATACTGGCGACACCAACAAGGCAGCGTGATGGGATTTATTAGCAATGCTGCAGACATTAACTCCAAGGAAAGCTTGCTCTGTTTGTCATATTGCAGTGGGACTTCTGCAGCTCTCCCATAAAGTCCTGCAAACTCCAGCAGCAGCTGCACCAGAGTGCGCATTTGCCAGTAAACATATGGCTGGAGCAAATCTTTATTTGAAGAATGCAAACCTATGGAGCGAGATATTGTTCCACAGCACCTGCAGGGCAGCTGAAAGACATCTAGCCAAGACCAGATAGATAGATTCAATAGCGAGTGTGGAAGAGTTCGTTTCAACAGCACACAGCACAGCAAGGATGTTCCGAGTGTTCCACCCTGTGAAATATGTTGCCTTTCAAAAAGGATAATAGCTTTTGCAGCCTTATGAAGCATGACAGATGCAGCCTTGCATCTTTTACAGTGCAGAGCTACTAATATACTCTCTTCATTCTATGGCTAAGCTCTGCCTATATATGTACTCAACACATTCCCTTTTCTACTTAAGATTATGTTGCCCCATCGCCATTCGTCTATCGACACATCCCATTTCCTATTGAAGCGCACGTCGCTGCTATTGCCATTTGTCTGCGAGATTCTCATAAAAGGCGCATTTCAGTTGCCAGTAAAGGGCATGAAGAAGTTCAAACAGGCACGAGTTGAACACA